GTTAAAAGAAATTATTCTGTCAAAATTACAAATTAAATCTTAAAATAAACTGATAATAATCAAGGTTAACCATTATACAAAGTTTAAATTAGGTTAAGTTGTTGCACATTATAACAAACTGAATTGATCACAAGTATTAATGCAAGTCATATACAGAGTTTCTATTTTGTATAGAATTAAGTAGACCTTATGACATTAGTGATAGGCATTAGCACAGTTTAACAACAAATGCATTTCAGTTGATAACGCGTTGTTGGTGAATCCCCTTGTTAGTAAACTGTATCGCAACCTTTGAAAGGTACACAGTTCCTAATTATTACTCAAGCTTCACTTTCACTTTTGTATCAAGATTTACGTAAAAAATAAAGGTATCGATCTTTATTACATATTTCTCTTATCAAATTTAAAGTGACAGTTGCGTTTAAACTACATCGCAAAGATAATCGACACATTATCTTACACTATACAGGGTGTTAAAAAAGTTCTTGATTTTAGTCAAACAAACATATGATAGCAAAGAACGCATACGAAGAATAATAATGTAACAGATCATGAAATTATACATGAAAAAGGATATATTGACGTCACAACTGTAACGTATATTCTTATAAACAAAAATGAAATTTTACTTGTAAAATGAACATGTTTTGATATACTGTCTACGGTTTGGAGTGGCCAATTTAAGAATTACATTTGACCCGAGAATTAAAATTAATGAAGTCTGAAAACTTAAACGTTTCCAAATTAAATTCACATTACATTAATATCACCAACGAGATGTAGGATAGATGGGACATGCAACGTAAATTTTTGTCCTATGGCGAAGGGGTTATATGACCCCCTTGCCATTCCTGTGTCATTTACAACGTTACCAACAGAGTATAAGTTTTTTTATGTGTGTGTCGCCCTTGATAGCTTGCAACCGGTGTTACGCAGGTGCCAGTTTGTTGTTTTCCTTGTTCTGTAGACTTTAATTTATCAGTATCGTGATACTATTTATTCTTGTAACAAAAGTTCTGATTATGTCATATATAAATATTTATTTTGAGGAACAAGTTATACATATACGTATATTAGAAAACATGAGAGATAAAGGCCTTGTCCAATCCCATCCAATTCCTTTCCTTTCCTTAAAGGTGTTAATTAGAGTTCCATTTTTTGTGCATATTTCGAAAGGTGTTAATAGAGTTCTCCTACCTTTCAAACTCTATTAACACTAGAACTACCCAGCAGTAAAATTGATTACTCTGTATTTCCTTATAAAATATATAAAAATACATTTATTGAGTATTCAATTTCTTTATATTCTAGTTTGTATTTATCTAAATCAACTCATCGAATAGTTTCTCAGAAAATCGTCTGTGCCTTTTCCATAATTGCGAAAGAAGTGACACGAAATGGGTCATTTTGACCCAACCAGTGGTTCTAGTGTTAATATTTCTCGAAGTCTCCTGATTCTTCATTGTTCCTCGCGACATTTTAAAGTTCCAAGATTAAAAAGGAGAACTCTAATTAACACCATTAACACTTTTTGAGGATTAGAGCGCCAAATCTTCTTATTTTACAATTTTTTAGCAACACTTTAGAGTTTCCAGGTAAAAAATGGAACTCTAATTATCAACTTTTAAACTTGCTCAAGTTATCATGAAATTCCAGACTTTGGCGTAATGAAAGATTGGAAAGAAGAAGGTGTAAAGGATAAAATAAAATACGCAGGCAATTTTAAAATGTTAATTTATTTATTTAATTGTATTGATGATTGAAACGATGATTATTTGAAAACATTTTTGTATTCTAAGCAATACTACCTAATCCGGTGACGTTAGCCGAGATAAACGTGCAATAATAACAAAACGATTTCAAACAATTTGATATTATACTTTATTCATTCTGTGTATTTTGCTACGTGAAATCGTGCGGCATTCAACGTGCTGACTAACTATTTACAAAAAGAATATCGTGAATATCAACAGAAGATTTAAAAAGCATAAAATTAAACAATAATTAATAATAAATAGAAATTGACTTTATCAACAAATAGAAACCAACATTACCAACACATGGGCTACATTAACGCCACATTCTCCTGAAATTCTTCGTCCTTGTCGTACAGCGACACGGCTCTTGTTTTAGTCATTGAGGGGATAGGGAAAACGCGTGATTTTGTTTGCTAAATAGTAGCCCTGAGAGCGTGTGACAACATTTTTCATTGCATGTTATGTCTATCTTACTCATTGAGTAGAGGTAATGAGGGAACGTTGTGTTCTCTGATGACGAATGAGACTCGCGATGAAGATTTCTAGATTAACCCTTTGCACTCGAGAGGTGACTCTCAGTCACCACTTGGTTTAATGCACTAAAACTATAAAATTTGATATTCAACATTGAACTCTGTATAATGTATCGGTGAAATATTGAGATAAAAAAGCTTTGTTTCTCAATTCACTTGCCATTTCTCTTTGAGTTAATTTAAAAAATATCGTCTGTGTCTAATTAGAAAATGTTAAGTATTTCTAACGAAATATTTTTGAGTGCGAAGGGTTAATTTAACAAACCTCAATGTTGTTCATTCCCCACGGATCAAAGTAAAAAACTGTTTTGCTATTATCAATGTATTATCTTCAAATGAAATTTCCACTTAAAGTAGAACAGAAAATTTTGTTACGTTTCTTTTAAAGTGTCGATAATAAAATGCTACAGGAGCTCAGTAGCGAAAGTAGATAATACGGCAAGGGGTTAAGCTGTGTCTGTAGTCACAGATGACACTACAGCGACATCTGTCGGAGCTCAGGAGTACGGCTAACGCCGACAGACAAAATGAAAGAAGTGCGGCAAGTGAACGAAGTCGAAGAGGTGCGCGCATCTTTATTTAAAGCTCACTGACGTGTTGGTACAATTGCGCGCGCAATGAATCAAGCACCAGTATCGTGTATTCCAGCCGGGAAGATGTCAAAGGCGAAGAAGGTGCTCGATGAGGCCCGCGAGATCCAAAATCCTGAGCTGGATCTCGCGGACAAAGGCATCTCAACGTTCGAAGAGATGTCTGGATTACGTGAGTCTTCCATATCTTTATGATACCCGTTTGGATCGCCAAATTAGGCAACTTGTCTTGACTGGTTTTTGGAGCGGATGGAAATCCGAGGAGGCCATTTGTCGCTTGCCCACGAGGTGGGCGTGTCAACGCATGCGCGCGAATTTCTTTTAAAAGATAACAACAGTTTGAAATACCAATAAAGAAATTGAAATATGATCAATAATTACGAACTAATATGAACTACATGCTGACATATGTACTGATGTATACACTAATTTTTTTGACAATTAATGTCTTAAACATGATTAATAATATCTATGTACTAATTAGCATAATATTTGTCATGCTTAAGATATATTTACTTACATACTTCTTTCTTTCTTTTTCAGTTAATATGATTAATATAACTAGACTGACTTTAAGTCACAATAAGATTCAAGGTAAATCTCTGCAATATAACAAAAATTTATAAAAATTTAAAGACAACTGTTGTTATTCAACAATTTTTCAACAGCTGTACCACCAGGGCTTGCCAACTTGGTCAATCTAGAGATTTTAAATTTATTTAATAATCATATTACTGAACTTCCTATCTCTCTATCGCAGATGCCAAAGTTGCGGATTCTCAATGTTGGGTAAGGTTTTTGTACATACAATAATTGTTATATAAATATATTTGAACATATTCATAAAAATATTTTGATCAACTTTGTAGAATGAATAGGTTGGATGTACTTCCACGTGGGTTTGGTGCTTTCCCGGTCTTGGAGGTGTTAGATTTGACATATAATAATTTGAGTGAAAAGAATTTACCAGGGAACTTTTTTATGATGGGTTAATATATAAAATTATCACTTTAGACATAGATTTTTGAGAATGAAACTAAAAAATTGTTATTTATAGAAACATTGAGAGCACTTTACTTGGCTGACAATGACTTTGAATATTTACCACCTGAAATTGGACAATTAAAAAATTTACAGATAGTAAGCTCAAAACTGTTTCAATAAACAATAAAATTTTTATTTATCATATACAAATTTACAGACAAATTTTTATTATGTTCCAGCTTGTATTAAGGGAGAATGACTTAATAGAATTACCAAAAGAAATTGGAGAACTAACACGACTAAGAGAATTACATATTCAAGGGAATCGATTGACTCTATTGCCTCCAGAAATAGGTATGACAATATTATATTTTGCAGTTTATTAATTAAGTTTCCATTTATTTGAAAATGTAAATTATATTTTCAAGATTTTTAACTGGGAATTATGTTATAGGAAATTTGGATTTAGTAAGTAATAAGGCTGTATTTAGAATGGAGTTTAATCCATGGGTGACGCCAATTGGTGATCAACTTCAAGTGGGTATATCTCATGTCATGGACTACATTCGATCCGAAACGTATAAGTAGTAAGTACAATAAATTTTATTATATGTTGAAAACATACCGAAATGTGACTTGTATGCCTTTTTCAGTGTGTACAATAGACATCAGTCAGCCAAAGGACCACCACCGCCAAGTGAAAACGACAAGAGTAAGAAAGTATCGCGTGTTCGTTAAGTTAAAACCAAAAACAATTTACACCAAAAATTTATTTTAAATTATAACATAACTTATCTTAATTCACTCACTGCCAGTAACCCGTAACTAATAATATTCCCGAAATAAAAATGGTGCCTTTACTAATGTACAACTAACCTATATTTTTATTATGCATTTCAAGTATTTGTATAGAAAAATAATATAGGAATTAAGTTATGCTCTAGAAATATGTAATATATTATTCTATTGTCTACATTTGTTAAATGATATTTTTGTAACGACTGGGTAGTAAGTAACATGTGTAATAAATTATATTTTAGAATAAATTGCTTTTAATTTAGTAGTCATTACAAAATTATTCACATATCGTTATATATCATGTTAAAGATCTTTATGCAGATTACAATAACGTTTATGTTTTATGCTTTTAGTTACGTGTATCATATTTCAATGGTGTTTAGATTAATCCATTCTATAAACATATATTAACACTTCTAACAACCTAACGTTCAATAACAGAACACTTTACTATTATTTTAATTAATTAATAAATATACGTATTGCATTAAAATATTTATAGCAATAAATTAATCATTGGGACATACTAAAAGTAAAAAATAATCGACGAGGATGGGATTCGAACCCACGCGTGCAGTGCACATTGGATTAGCAGTCCAACGCCTTAACCTCTCGGCCACCTCGTCCAACGAAACAATTGTCAAAACTGTTCGTAGATTAGGGTTAAATACCCTTAACGAATCAAAAGAAATACTACAATGTATTGATATTTAATAACATACCTACTAACACAATAATTTAATGATATATGTAAAAATGTACTAGTTTAAATTATTCCTCAATTTTTTCTAACTCCCTAAATGTGTTGGTATGAATGAATTAATGAAATATTAAACAAATATTATAAAGAAAATGCACTAATTACTAGTATACTCATTGATCTTGCTGTCTTACTATGTAGAAGTCAATATAATCCAATCAGCACCGGTAAATGTGAAAATGAGAACTGTGTCGAAAATTATAATCTCTCTTCTTCTGCAACAAGATGGAATCTAGTTGACATAACAAATTTATTCGTTGTAATTTATATATTGTTCACTTTCTTTATGTTTATTCATGCGCTAGATTTATTAAATAATATTTTTTCTATTATGCATGTAAAAATCTTTGATTCTTATTGTCACAAGTAAAACTTAGGAAGCGTATAATAAAATTGTCTACTTATTATCCTATGTCATTGCTATATATTGCAGTTACGTTTCAGTTTAAGTATTACGTATGATGCCTGCAAGCAATAGGTAAGCACTTACTTACGAAACATGTATGTGCAGTTTCAAAGTATTAGTTATATTATTATTTCAACTCTTTGCACTCGAGAGGTGACTCTCACTCGCTACTTGATTTCATACAGTAAAACTATAAAATTTAATATTTAATATTATACTTCATATAATGTATCAATTTGAGAAATAATGAAATATAATAGCTTTGTTCCTCAATGTACGTGTGATTTTTCTTCGAGTCAGATTCGCAAAATATCGTCTTTATCTCATCAGAAACTGTTCAAATATTTCTAATGAAGAACTTCCGAGTGAAAAGGGTTAATTATTTTAATTTATAGTATTCTAGTATAATACCTGTTTCGGAGTATTTCGCTGTATGCTTTCAGTTTTCTTGAAATAATTCACGAGGACTGAAGCGTGTTGGAAAAATTCATTTCGGCGGAGCGCGTTTGAAAGAATTATGTATACGAACATGATGGACGTGATTTAACGGTGTAAATTTATATTTATTGTGTATGGTCGCTAGTTGATGGTCGAACTAATGATATTTTCAACTGTCCGAGGCGAAGTGTGGCTGTTTACGGGTACGAAAAGTGACCTCTGTTAGACGCTTGCAATTTTCTGGTGGGAATAACGTGTTTAATAGCTGTGAAAATAGCCTGGCAGACTGTTTTAGAAATTTAACTGTTCCCAAACATCTGCGTTTTTACGATGTTCATCGTTAGGCTTCTCCACGATGGTCTTGACCTGTGCTGACGACAAGACGCCGTAACAATACTTACCTTTATGTCATTTATTGTAAATCAGGACCTTTTAACTAGTCCAATTAATTTACATACTATGAAACAACATCAGAAATGCTTACAGTTCCTCAACTCGTGCACCTTTCAAAAAGTTACTAACTATTAGCAATGTTTTCATTCATTTCTATCTTTTAACACGTCGAATACCGCACGATTTCATAGAGCAAAATACACAAAATGAAAAAATATAATATTAAATCATTTAATTGAATTCCAATCTTACTATTGCACGTTTATCTGGCTGAATGTCACCGCATTAGGCAGTATTATTTATAATATAGGAATGTTTTCAAATAATCATCGTTTCATCGAGTGAACTATAGTAATTCGATTTGGTTGGGGGTCACCGGTGACCCCCATGGCATTCAACAACGTGTTAATATCCTTATTGCATATTCAATATTTTATAGTTCGATTCTGAGCTTCACAAAGTCAGCTGCATCCATACGAAATGTGTACGCAACCATGCAATGTGCATTAGAAAAAACATGCGAAACAAAAAGGTCTATTTCCAGAATTATTTAATGACAAGAAAAATTACCGTGCAGTTCTATTAAACTGTGCATTTACATAAATATCTGCAATCTACATGGCAATATCTACGAGAAGCATAATCAAGTTATGGTACCATTGCGGACGGGTAATTAAAAAATCACTATAATTACGTATCAGCGGGAGAGTAATCAGGGATATGAGTAATGAGACACCAAGACTGATCGATTTATAGATATTACAGGCTTTTTATTGTAGAACAGCACACGGCCGCATGAATTATATTACATATGTATAAATTTGTATCGGCATCTTTACAATTAGGTTCACGGAGAGAACTCTTTATCGCACATAGACTTCTTTCACATCTCGGGAAGAGGACAGGGATCACGTTATGTATCATTATACTGTGACGTAACGGACAGCACACTCGGTTTGATATGATGACGCGTAGGTATTTGCTTACAGCGCCCTAGATCTCGCGCGCCTTTTCGATTGTTTTGTGCGTATCACGCCGAGCGATAGAAAACGAAAAAAGAAAAAAGAAAAGAAAGGGTACCAAACACCGGCAAGTAAGAAACAGATGCACGCGAAGACGATCTAAGGGGGACGATCGATCTCACGTGACAATCGAAAACGGAAATATCCCGGATACTCGGGCTGCCAACGTTCCCTGATCAACTTGAAACGCAACGAACGGGGTGTGAAAGGGCTGCGGATGTGGAACAGCGATACTGACGAAAGCAAAAAACGTCGATCGTTCCGGTGCTAGGTTCTCGATACACCAATCTTGTTAAACACCGATCCACCAGGAAACAAATATTCCTAGCACAGGAAGGACCGATCTGATCGGTACACATCGATACACGGTAATGCTGACACGGAGACGACAATGATCTCGGTTGACATCAACGAGAGCGTCTGTAAGATAGGTTAGGAACCGTCTTCTCAAGACCCGATAGCTCCTAACGATATTCTCTGTTAGCAGGTTTCATCCCTTCTCTCTTTTATCATTTCGTAGAAAAACAGTTTTGTCTGGTTTCTTTTTCAGTTCGCACCTTGGCCCATCGTTTAAACAGCGAAGAGAACTGATTCCGGTCACCAGAATCTCGCTTGACACCTCTCATCGACGCCGAACGCGATTACAATAATAAATTCCTATATCGTTTATAGCAAGTTCGTCTAATAAAAGATTCTCCATTTGCGCGTGCCTGGACACACGGCGATAATTTGCAAATTAGCTTCTTCTTATTCTCGTTAAAACTTTGTATCTTTATAAAATTTTATCTCTCTTCTACCTTTCTATCTTTCATTCTCTCTTTCTCTCTCTCTCTTTCTCTCTCTCTCTCTCTCTCTCTCTCTCTC